AGGGAAGCCATCCAAATAACCCTGACCTCTCTGTGGATTTTAAAGAAAGCTTTCGGTATCTATTTTCTAATTTCCCCAAAGAGTCCCTACAGCTTGAGGGATCATGGGGAAGGGAGTTCCACCAAGTATGCTTTGGGGCCTCTGGATAAATGCTGTGCAGAGGTAATCGGCTCACCTCGTCATAGCCACCAGCCTCAGCCTCCCCTGCAACTCTGTCACAGCTAAGCAAATTACTGCTCCAGGCTCTGCGCCTCCCAGATATGTGACTCGGGAGCCTCATTTGCAATCACCATTAACCAGAAAAACCGCAGGACTGCTCTGTGCCCATAGAGTGGAGTGTCATACAATACTCACAGAAACCCAAGGGCTGGAAGAGGCTGCAATGCCTTTAGAATACAGCTTGCACAGTGACCACCACCAGCTGGGGATCCCCTGACTTGCCCTCTCCCGGTCCCTCTACGGTGACAATGAGCAGTGACATCGCATCGCTCAGGACTGGGCAGAGAAAGACCAGGTGAAATACCCACCGGACTGGGAATGGGACCCTCATAGGTGACTGTGTGGATAAGAGCTGAGTAACCCACACACCAGCTATTAAACAATCTTGTGGAAAAGCCTTTAACTGCTTTAAAGTAGGTATTCCCGCTCTAAAGACAAAGCTCAGGTCTTTAGCTCTCACTCTGTCGCCTGCTGAGCTGCGGGAAACAGAGTTAGCAAAGCCCCAGGGCAGATTTCCAAAGATGATCCCATAAAAGGGGGCCACACCTCTCCTCCTCCCCATTGTCACTCAGTGCACGCTCAGCCACATGGAAAGCACATGGATGTGTCAAGAAATGGTACTAAGATGCCCCAGTTTGAATTCCCTCCCTATCTGTCAGGCACTTAAATTAAAGCCATCATTGTTCCGAATGCCCCTCCCATCCCGTGTGTGTGTGTGTGTGTGTGTGTGTGTGTGTGTGTGTGTGCATTTCTGTTGTAAACCAACGTTAATGGGTTACAACAGAGAAGAGCTCCAGGACCTGGCTGGATGGAGACACCAATAGCCCCCGTCCCCAGAAAAGGCGAGGGCGCTGACGTCCCCAGGCCCAGATGCAGCGGAGGGCACTGGGGGTTGCAGGGCCAGTGCTGGCACTCGGCGGAGGTATCAAAGAGGGACTTTCGGAAGTTTGCCAGAAAGCATTTTGCTAGTCTCCTTCCAGAAACTTGTTTATCAAAGGCTGTGGTTAAAAGGAGGAAGTTGCTTAGCCAGCCTCAGCTCAGCTCCCGTCTGCCTGGGAAGTGCTGAGGACCCACTCCAGAGGTGCTGTGCAGAGGGGCTCTGGCCAGCATGACTGACCCCTCCCGGGAGAAACCTGAGCGCAGGGACTGGTCACCCTCCTCTCAAAAGGCATCTCTAGAGACAGGGCAGAAGGCAGCAGGGCTGCTCAGGGCAGGGCATTATAGAAGCAGCAAGTGCCAGCGGGAGAGCAGCCAGCAGAGAAAGGCTTTCTTGGTTTGGAGACAAGCAAAGGACAGGAGGGAGAAAGGAGTGCTGAATCAGGACCAGGGACAGGCGCCCTCATGAGCGCCAGCAGGCAGCCTGCTCGCCACATTTCAATAACCTCTGTGAATGAAGAAGCAGAGGGCAGTCAGCAGGAAAGCTGGCTCCTTGGTGGTCGCTTGTGGTCGGGTGGGAAGAAGTGGGAGCACCATTTGGAGCCCTGATCTGTGCAAGGAGCCATGCCTACAGGCAGAGACAGAGCGACGCAGGGAACCAGTCTCATGTGCACACCGCTGCCTGGCACTCACTTAAAGCTGAGGTCTCTCATTCATGTTCAAGGCCGGCTACTCTAGAGGCCCCTTTTTAATTAGGGCGGGCTTAAGGAGGGTAATGGCTTTAACCAGAGCATCTGCAGTCCCCGGGAAGCCCCTGCCTTCTATTTAGAAGGAAAGACATCAGCTTGCTTAAAGGAATCCCAGGTTACTAAGCAATCACCATAACAAGATTGAGAATGAAGGTGACCTATAGAAGCATGGTAAATACACAATTTTCTTTGCTCTGTAAGTGAATTTTGACTATAACTCAGCACTTGCCTCAGGTCTTAAAATGTTGTTAGTTAGAATTCTCAGGAAAGCCCAGGAAGGAATAAAGTGCAAAAATGCTTCCACAGAGAAAAACACAGGCTTCCCAGCCTTCTCTGTAGCTACATGCAACTCAGAAAATTGAGAGCAAGGTTGCAATCTCTCTGTCCTTGGTCACCGTTTCATGTACCAGCCTGTCATACAAGGTGCGGGCAAGCACCACAGATCAATAGCTATTCTGGGTTAACATTGCCACAGTGGTTTGTTTGTTTGTTTGTTTGTTTGTTTGTTTAAAAAAAGAAAGACTTTCCTCCCCTGCATAGATCACAGCTTATTACATCCAAGGCATATTTCCATGGCCTATTTATGGAAATCAGTGTTTAGACGGAGAATTTTTTTTGAGGTGTCATGCACTTTTTAATATAAGCAGTGGGGCAGTATGCTTCCATAGAGATATTCCTTTAAACGCTCTTTAAATGGCTGTTAGCCCTTAGGTTTGAGAAGTGGGTAAAACTTACCCAGTGGGTCATCTGGGCCCTGGATGAGCATATGGTACCTGTGGAGACCTCCACAAAGGTGGCTGGGTCTGCGGGGGTCTCCCCCTGCCTGGAGCAGCCCCCGAATCCTGTGTGCACTGACCCAGACCCTGCTAGCATGAGCAACACTCAGCTTGCTTCGTTTACCTGCGGTGACGCTCCTCTGAGCAAAACAAAAACAAACACACAAAAAAGTTTCTTTATACAGGAAGTGGAAAGCCAAATGAGAGTGTATGTCAAAAGTGAGCCATGGCCTCTGGAAGCCTGTGTCCCCTATTTTTATGTTACTGCTTATATGATTTCTACATTGCCTGAAGGCTTTAGGTGACAACGTCTGAAGTCCCTATTAGAACTCTACAAATTATATACAACATACTTTTTTTTATATACAGAAGAGTGTTATTAAAGTACATTCACCTCTAATATCTCTTTTCAGCCTCCAAAGGTATGGAGGAGGCAGGACAGATATTCATAAGCCTATTTGGAAGGTAAGGAAGGGAAGGCTCAGAGAGGTGGAGTCAATCCTTCAAGATCACACAGCTGGCCAGAGTGACTCAAAGCCTCCAGCCCTGACTCTGGGCTCCTGGACTCGGGTCTACCCTTCAGTCTCCAGCCAGACACCACTGAATATACACAGAAGGTTTCCCCTTGCTGGCCTCACGCCAGACCCTAGCACCTCTCTCCTCCCCATCACCAGCCGCAGTCAATGAACCATAGAAATTCAAACTTCGGAAATGCTAAATCTCATAAGCAATTTTTAAAGGTATTAAAATGCAAAACAGGAGTAAACAAAAATTCTTGCCACAGGGAACTAACTAATGCAAAGTGACAAAATAATGGGAGTTTGAATGTGGTCTCAAAAGTGGCCGTAAAATGCAACTCAGAATCATATTTGAATATGTATACCATACACTTGCTTTGCGAGGATGCCTGGTGGTGAATGTTGTAAAACTAAGCCATAAAAGAAAGAAGAAACAGTAGCATGAAGGAAGAAGGGAAGAGAGCAAGAGTGAGCGGGAATGGTTGCCTGAGATGGCAGTAGTCACAGCCTAGGTACCACAGAGAGCCAGAGCCTCGGTCGGATGCCCCCGAGGGGTCCGAGGACGGTCCATCGCCCCTCCCCAGGACTGGCCTGGGCAGGTGGCCCCAGCAGCCCCAGGCAGCCGCCCTTCCTAGGGGACTTCCAGGAATTGGGGTGGGGGCGCTGCCATCAGGGCTGACCTGCAGGGCTCCACCGAGGACAGTCTGGCAGTGGGAGTTCAGGAAGTGTGGAGCAACAAGCAAGCTCGTGCTGCCCGGCGCGGGGGTGACATGCGTCCCCACGGCCTGCGCGGGCGCCGCAGACGCGGCCCTTCCCCCACACTCCGTCTGCGTCACTCGGCGGCCGGCGAGGACGGGAAAGCAACTCTCGACGAGTCCAGCTTTTATTTTAGGACGGAGCCCGGGCGGCTCCGAGTTTCGCGTCTGGGGCGTTCCGCTGCGCCTGGCCCCACCCCTCGCCCACGGCCGCCCCCTCTTCCCCGCCCCCGGCCCCCGCCAGCGGCTCGTGCTTCCTTTCCCGTCCGCAGGGCTGCGGCGTGGGGCTGCCCTTCAGGACCCCGCGTTCTGGCTGTAGTTTTAGAGGGCACTGCCGGGCGCGAAGGCGGAGGCGCGGGGCAGCCGGGCGGCCGCCTGGGAGCTGCAGCGGCGGCGGCGCCGAGCTGGTTCCATTATTGTACAGCCGAGGCCAGCCCGGCTCCTCCTGTCCTGGGTGGACCCGGCACATCCAGCCGGCAGGGAGGCAGTAAGCCAAACTCCTCCTGACACACACCACACACACACACACACACACACACACACACACACACACACACACACACACACACACTCGAGTCTGAGGACAAGGACGCTTTGCAGAAAGAGCACCCTTGCCCAACCCGGGTCCCTGCCTGGGGGTTCCTCACCCCCTAGTCACTTCCGAGGTGGCCCGAGAGCGGCTTCCTTCCGAAATCCTTGTGCTCCACTGTCGCCCCCGACTTGGGACAGACAGCAATTAGGGCAACTTTTCAAATCCGAACACTTGCCTACAAATCTGTGGCACAGAGAAGATGGGGACGCTCCCCTGCTCCCTCTGCCACCCTCGCTTCGCCCCCCACCCCCTGAGGCTGCCAGTGGGGGGTGGGGGGTGGGGATGGGGGGGACACTGGCCCATCGCTCTGGTCTTTCTGGGGAAGCGCTGTCACTAGTAACACCGAGCCACCCAGAGAGCAAGCCCAGGCGAACGAAGCGCTCCGGGTACCAAGCACCCTCCCAGCACCCGCGGCTGGGCGCTTGCCAGCCTCTCCCCGGAGGGTCACTGCCCCCTCCCGAGGAAGGACTTGAACCTGAGCCCCCCGAACGTAACAGGACAAGAGAGCAACTCACCTTTAGGTTGTGAGTGGGGTTGACGACGCAGACAAGTTGCCCAGCAGCGGAGAAAACCCGTTTAGCCTTATAGTGCTGAAACCGGAGATGAATGAGATCTAACACAGCCCCAAAGCACTGGGTGAAGAAAAGCATCACAACTTTTGGGGGGTCGTTGGCCCAGGAAGGCAGCGGTGGAGGAAGCTGTAAGTCCTTGGGCTCTGCAAGGAGCGCAGCCTCTGAGACACTCCGCTCCTGCCCGGCTTAGCGTGCCTTCATATTCATCATCAAAATAAGACGGTTAGAATCTTGCAGCAGTGAGGCGGCCAATCAAAAGGACAGAAATGTTATCCTTGAGGTGCAGAGACAGCCAATAACAAATGCCTCCCCTACCGAAACTCCCTGATGAATTGAGCCTGGCGGAGAATGTATTATTGAACATTACCATAGATCAGCACATTGCATTTATCTTGTGATTACAGCCAACCATACATAATGCTGGAGAAGATAGGTTGACAAAATTGATTGCTTAATGTGTCTCCATTTATTAATTGACTTAATTTAACATGAGAGCCTTTCCTAATGCCCTGGCAAAAACGTAAAGCGTTTAAACCGCCAAATAGTAAGACACCCTGCTCCAAAGTAGGCAGATGGATAACGCAGACCGTGGCTCGACTCACCAGAGCTGCTTGGGAGAAAATCAAATATTACAAGACTCCGATTCCAGATAAGGATTTGGCAGCGGCAAAAATGTGTATCTTTCAATCTTGTGCTCTGACTCTCTGCAATTTGGATTACAGCCCTTGATAAATCTTACCCTCCACTCTTTATCACGGAAAAGAACCCCTGGCAAATGCATTTGGAGTTGAGGGGGGAAAATGCATATTTTTCCCCAAAATACTGTAATTACTGAAGTCTGAAAGTATTAAAGCATAAAAATGCACAGAGTATGCTTCTAAAAATAATGAAATCCCTGATGCATGAATGCACACACAGAGAAAAACCTACACAGAGAGGAAAGTGGCTTGTAAATCAGCAAAATAATTACAGATGCAGAGAACCTTTGCTTGTCATTCATTTGCATATTGGTGGGAAGCAAATTGCTAATTAACCACTAGATTGTTGGAGACATTGAAATAGAGATTAAGAACACACATACCACATCATTTACTTGTTTCTGCAAATGCTAGCAGCACATTTCTGCGTTGGTGCTGGCAGAGGGCATTCCAGTCCTCAGACTGCAAAGCTGCCCTCCCTCCCCAGAACCGGCTTGGTGGGGGTGCTAAGACCACCCACTGGTTCTTGAAGGCTCCTAAGCAGTACATGAAGGATTTCATGGTTTCTAGGCAGGAACTCTGATGGTTTATTTAGTCTTTGTGACTAAAGTGGGAGAGTTAGGTGTATTGTGTTTTCCCTATTCTTTGGTTATTTCCCTATTTGAGAGGTCAGCCCAGCTCCAATGCCACCTGGGGCAGGATTAGCCTCAGTTGAGAATTGCACCCACTGTCAGCCGGTTACTCCTTGCTGCATGGCTCTGCTCTGCTCTGGCTACGGTTGCTCGGGGCTGCAATGTATGCAAAGCATACACACACCTGGGCTACCTGTCTGTGACCTGGTCAGGCAATTAAATTAACAACAGAAAAAAATAGAGGAGGAAAAATGCACAGGTTTACTGATACCAGAATAGAGCTCAGGGTGTTAGTTTTAACTTGAATTTACAACTTAACCAATGTTTTAAGGGACAAGCTGAATGCCAATTAAAATGGAAACTTTGTACTTTCTAAAATAATTGCATTGGCACAAAACTAGAAGATGACAACATTTGAACTGGGCAGAACCTCATCAATGTGTTATTTTTATATGATATGTGTCCCCGGACCCATTTATTACATGGTTCAGAAATAAGGGTTGCTGGTCCGCAGTGCCAAAATCCACTTTCTAAAGTTTGAATTATCCAGAATAAGTTTTCAGCAGTTCATCAGAAAACCATTCGGTGTTCTTTTATTGTCTTACTTTTTTTAAAAAAAGTAAAAGTAAGCATAGATTCCTTAAAGACATAATTCATAGTTCAGAACCATTCAAGATTCCTCTTTTTACATCTTTGGTTAAAATGCAATTATTGTGTTGATCTTCTGGTCTTGTTTTGCTTTGTTTTTTACATTTATTTTTGTTTGTTTGTTTGTTATTGTTGCCTTCACCCTACTGGAAGTTCCACGACAGTAAAGATTTTTGCTGTTCTTTTAAAAATGTTTTTGAAAGGTATATTTTTAAAATAAAATGTATAAAAATGAGGAGGCCATCAAATAGATGAAGGTCTATTACTTCGTGTTGCTAATCTCATGTTTACGGTTGAGGTATAGAAATCAAGGCTCATTTTATTTTGATTTTTTAAAATTAAACACATAAATTTTTAGAGCAGTTTTAGGTTCATGGCAAAACTGAGAGCAAGGTGCAGAGATTTCCCACATACCCACTGTCTCCCCACATGCACAGCCCTCCCCCATCAACACCCCCCCAGAGTGTACATTTGTTACAACTGATGAACTCACATCAACACATCGTTATCTTCCAGAGTACATAGTTTACGTTGGGGTTTGCGCTTGGTGTTGGACATTCTGTGGGTTTGAACAAATATATAATGACATGTATCCACCATTATAGTATCAAACAGAGGATTTTCACTGCCCTAAACCTCCTCTGTGCTCTGCCTATCCATCCTTTCCCCCTCCTCAACCCTTGGCAACCACTGATCTTTTTACTCTCTCCATAGTTTTGCCTTTTCCAGAACATCATGTCCTTTGAATCACACAGTATTTAGCCTTTTCAGATTGGCTTCTTTCAGTTAGGAGTTTGCATTTAATGTTCTACTATGTCTTTTTCATGGCATCATAGTTCGTTGCTTTTCAGTGTTGAGTAATATTCCATTGTCTGGATATACCACAGTTTATTCATCCACCAAATAAAGGACCCCTTGGTTACTCTTAAGTTTTGACAATTATGAATAAAGCTGTTATAAACATCCATGCATAGGATTTTGTGTGGACATACATAAGTTTTCAACTTCTTTGGGTGGATAAAAAGGAGCACAATTGCTGGCTCATATGGTAAGAGTGTATTTAATTTTGTAAGAAACCGCCAAACTATCTTTCAAAGTGACTGTGCTGTTTTGCATTCCCTCCAGTAATGAATGAGAATTCCTGTTGCTCCACATCCTCACCAGCATTTGGTGTTGTCAATGTTCTGGATTCTGGCCATTCTACTAGGTGTGTAATGGTATCTCATTGTTGTTTTAATTTGCATTTCCCTAATGACATATAACATAGAGCATTTTTTCATATGCTTATTCATCATCTGTATATCTTCTTTGGTGAGGTTTCTCTTCAGGTCTTTTGTGCATTTATTAACCATTTTTTTCTTATTGCTGAGTTTTAAGAATTATTTGTATGTGTTGAATAGTCTTTTATCAGCTGTGCCTTTTGCAAATATTTTTCCTAGTCTGTGGATTGTCTCCTCATTCTTTTGACATTGTCTTTTGCAGAGCAGAAGTTTTTAATTTAAATCAAGTTCAGCTTATCAATTCTTTCTTTCATGGATCATGCCGTTGGTGTTATATCTATAAAGTTATCACCATTCCATAAAGTCACCTAGCTTTTCTGTTATGTAACCTTCTAGGAGTTTTATAGGTTTGCATTTTACATTTACGTCCATGATCCATTTTGAATTATTTTTTGTGAAGACAGTAAGGTCTATGTCTAAGTTTGTTTTTTGTTTGTTTTGTTTTGTTTTTTGTTTTTGCATATGGATGTCTACTTCCATCACCATTTGTTGAAAATTTGTTAGATTTATAACTAAGTATTTCTTTTTGAGGGGTGCTAATATAAATGGTATTGTGTTTTTAATTTCAAATTCTACTTGTTCATATATAGGAAAGCAATTAACTTTAACATATTATCTTTGTATTCTATAACTTTGCTATAATCACTTATTAGTTCCAAAAGTTTTTTTATTGATTCTTTTGAATTTTCTACATAGATGATCATGTCATCTGCAAACAAAGCAGTTTTATTCCTTCTTTCCCAAACTGTATACTTTTTATTTTCTTTTTTTTGTCTTATTGCATTAACCAGAACTTCCAGTCCGATGCCAAAAAAAATTGGTAAGAAGTGACACTTTGTTCCTGATCTTAGTGGGAAAGCTTCTAGTTTCTTACCATTAAGTATGATATTAGCTGTAGGTTTTTTGTAGATATTCTTTACCAAGTTGAAGAAGTTCCCCTCTGTTCTTAGCTTACTGAGAGTTTTTATCATGATTGGGTATTGGGTTTTGTCAGATGTTTTTTTTTCTGTCTATTGATATTCAGGTTATATTGGTAGATGGAGAAAGAAATGTGAAGACTATTGTGCATAACATGCAAATATTTATCCTAGAATGGGGAATATATATTTATTTAAGTAATTATTTGTTTTTAAACATGTATAATAAATAAAAACTAAAAATGAAGTTAATATAGAAGGGAGAAGGGAAAAAGGTAGAGGGGGCAGAAATGCAGCTAGAATTCTCTGAATAATCTTGGTTCTATAGTTTGACTTTGAAACCTTGAAATTATTTTATAAAATTATAAAACAAAACAGAAAAGAAATCTCAAAAAGTCAAAAGCAGATTAAAACAAATCAACTGATTTTCAAGTTGGTAGTATATGCACACAGGACAATTTTAAGTGAATTTGGAACATGGCAATGGACTATAACTCTTCAGTAAGATATACTCTAAGGACAAAAGGTAGTATGAAAATCTTAACTACTTTTAGCAATGATATTGTTGGTGGTATCTGTGGTGGTTTAAAAATATATCTCCACCTTCAGAAGGTGGAACCTAATTCTCCTTCCCTTGAATGTAGGCTAGACTTAGTGATTTGCTTCTAATAAAAAGTGTAGAAATGATGATGTGTAACTTCTGAGACTAGACTATCAAAGGAATTGCAGTTTTCCCATTGTTGTTCTGTATGACTTGCTCTGGGGCCAGTCTTCATGCCGTGAGGACATTCCATCAGCCCTCTGGAGAGGCCTATGTGGGAAGGAGCTCATATGCCTCTCCACCAACAGCCAGCACTAATTTGCCAGCCATGTAACAAGACACCTTGGAAACAGATGCCTAAGCCTTGGTCAAGCCTTCAGACAACTGCAGTCCTGGCCAAATCCTTTAGTGCAACTTCATGAAAACTGCCCAGCTGAGCTGCTCTCAAATTTCCAACCTACAGACTCTGTGACAGA